TAACTACGATTTATGTGCCTCCTTGCTCATCCAACATCAATTACGGCCTCAGTGGCCAACTGGTGGCATTGCAGCCTCTCACTACGGACTATATGCCTCACTGCTCTTGCAGGTTTGAACCCTCCATTATGGCCTATGTGACCAACTATGACCTATGTGGCTCACTGCTTATGCAGCTTCCAACTAGATCTCAGTGGCCAACTAATGTTATTGCAACTCCCTACAATGCCCCATGTGATCAGCTATGGCCTATGAGGCTTACTGCTAATGCAACTTCCAATTACGGCCTTAGTGACCAACTAATGCTATTGCAACTCCCCACTACGGCTTATGTCGCTCATTGCTCATGTAGCTTCCAACTAAGGCCTCGGTGGCCAACTGATGCTATTGCAACTCTTTTCTACGACCTACGTGACCAACTTCTACCTATGTGGCTCATTACTCATGAGCTTCTAACTATGACCTTGGTGGCCAATTGATGCTATTGCAACTCCTCAATACTGCCTACGTGATCAACTATGACATATGTGGCTCACTGCTCATGTAGCTTCTAACTACAGCCTCAATGACCAACTGATGCTATTACAGCTCCCTTCTATGACGTACGTGACTAACTACGGCCTATGTGGCTCAATACTCATGCAACTACCTACTACGGTCTTGATAGTCAACTGATGCTATTTCAGCTCCCCACTACGACTTACGTGACCAACTATGACCTATGTGGCTCACTGCTCATGCAAATTTTGCATCTCTCCACTGCGGCATATGTCACCAACTACGACCTATGTGGCCCACTACTCATGCAGCTTCCAACTACGGCCTTAACAACCAATTGATGCTACTACAACTTTCAACTTCGCCCTCTGTGGCCAACTGATCCTTTTACAATCACATTCTACAACATTTATGACAGACTATTGTCTTCGTAGTAACTAACTACGGTCATTGCGCCCTGTTTGCGGCTATTATCGTCGAACTGTTGTTTTAAATCAACTTTGTAATTTCATCTTTCTTAATTTAGAAGAAGAGTGAACCTATGTAGTTACAATCACATTGTGGATTATTTTGACTGAGTCAGACCCGTAGTTTTTTCTCTTGCCAGAGTTTTCCGTGTAAAAAATATTGGTGGCTCCTCCGATATTATCTATTTGTTTGTTGGATTTTCATACAACACTTAGACGTTAATTTCTCCCTCTACAGTCAAAGATCTTCCAGCGCAACAACCATGCATGCTGCTTATGTTTCCTCCCATATGAAATTCTAACCTTTCATTTTATTTTGCTTTTATGATTTTCAATCTTCACTCTAACATTTCAGAAATAAATCTGAACCTTACATCACATCAATTTATAATCCCGCTAACACAGAAAAAATGTTTCAAATATCTGTAAAAACTTTTCCAAAGAAAGTTGCACCTTAAAAAAATTTTCAATTTATCAAGAAAAGTGTTTCCTATGAAAGATGCAGTTTAATTTATATGCATATTATTCTAACATAGAAAAAACATTTTAATTATCTGTAAAAACGTTTCCAAATAAAGATGCACCTTAAAAAACGTTTCTATTATCTAGAAAATGTTTCCAATGAAAGATGCAGCTTAACTTGTATACATATTATTTATAATATCTAACAATAAAACGATTTCAGTATCTAGATAAAAACTTCCAAAGAGAGATGAACCTTAATTATCCAAAAATCTTTTATACTATATTCAAATTTTTAATTACAACAAACCTCAAATATATTGAAGTAACTAAATTTTATAATTTTCTAACTAGGTTAATTATATGTACATATTATTTATAATATGATGATCGAGTTTATATAGATTACACATTCAAAATTTATCAAACCACGATTTTATACGACGTGCCAGGAGTTATACACTTAGCGCATGTGCAATTGGTTGACGTTTTTGAATTTTGGGAAGGGTAAAAGTTTTTCCAGGTTGCGCAGTCTTAAAAGAGCAGTCTTTCATTCTAAAGAGTCATTTATTGTTGAAATAGGCTCTTGGTTAGGGCTCTCAGAAAAGCTCATCGTTTGCAATCAATTAGTGTTTGGCTCGCTAATTAGCTTGTGTTCGATTTGCTTGTTGAACAAACGAGTCGAACACGAACAAATTTTTTGAGCTCGATCATAAACGAACCGAACATGAACAAATTTATGTTCTATCGTATTCGGCTCATTTTAACTCAAATTAATTAAATATTAAATAAATAATATATAAACTTTAAAATAGCGGTATCTTTGATATGATATCATAGATTTGGTTTGTATAAACATAAAAAACAAGATTTAGGCGTTAGATATGTAAATACATAAGAATTGGGTGATATATATGCAAATGACCCTATAAAATTTTAATATATAAATACATAAGAATTGAATGATATCTGATATGTATCTAAATGCCCAAGAATTTTTCGCATTTATGTGTTAGATATGTAAATACATAAAAAATTAGGTGATATGCATTTAAATGCCCCTGGACCTGTGCCGTGCCCCGCTTCACCTTGAAATTTAGGTCATTAGGTGTTAGATATGTAAATACATATATATTGAGTGATATGTATGTAAATATCTCTTGGATTTTTTCCTATACATCTCTGCCGACCCGCCCCACCTATATCAAGCTCAACTCAAGTGGGCCGTTTGGGGCAGCTGCAGCTGTTTGAAGAAGCTGCTAAAGAAGAAACTGTTGTTCAAAAAATAACGGTTGCTATTACAAATTTTTATTTTTAAAAAAGTCAAACCATAACTTTCTAGTAGCCATCGTAGGTAGGAAAACACAGGTTTCAGCTGTAGCTTTTCTAGAATACAAACAAAATGCAATTTTGCTTAACAGAACTGCGGTACGGCACCACACTGCCACCGCACCCCTGCCCCAAACGCTCCCTTAGTCCCACATTAGGAAGAGCCAAAGCATAGCCTTAGTATAAATGGAAAGGCAAAATGAATTAATTCGAGCGTTTCAACCTACGTCCGCGTGTGCGTGTGTAATGATGTGTTGATATGGAATTTTCAGTTTATTCAAATCCATTTAAAATAAAAAATTTAATTTTAAATTGGTAAAATCATTTTGATTAATTAGTTTAAAAAATTACTATTCAACATTACTAATTATTAAGTTTGGGCTCGGGTTCGTTTAGCCTGAAAGTACTTGATTAATACAACAACAAAGCCTTAATCCCACTACGTGGGGTCGGCTACATGAATCCTTTTTCTCTATTGCGTCCTGAAAGTGCTTGATTAATGAAGAAAATTAAATGAACCGAGCTCAAACAATGCCCAACTAACTCTAATGAATCCAAACTTGAAAATTAAATGAACTGAGCTCAAATAGGTTGTTTGGCTTGACTCGTTTTGTTTGTAGCCTTAATTCCAATGAGCTAATTCTGAGTCGAACACAAATAAAATGAGCTAGTATTGAACTGAACACAAACATACTGTTCAAGAGCCAATTTCAAATAAAAGCCAATCTCGAGCAGAAATAATTTCAAGTGAGCTGAACATGAGCGACCCGAGCTCACTCAAGCTCGACTCATTTTCAACCCTACTCTTGTTCTTCTTCCTTAACCACTCCACTGATGCTAGTTGCTTATATATTCTCTTTATTTCTTCTCATAATAAAGATAGCCACAACATAGTGCATTTTATTGCTTCCCATCGTTGCCACCGGGTAGGGCTGTAATTGTGCCAAGTCGAGTCGAGTATATCACAGTTCAAATTTGGTTTGGTATAATTAGAAGTTGGTTTATGTTCGACTTGAGCTTGTGTCGAACTTTCATATATTGTTCAAGCTAGCTTGTTTAAATTTTTTAATGTTTGAACTTGATTTGTACTTAATTTGTTTAGGTCAAGTTAATAAATATTTAAACGAGCTAGTAACGAGTATTTAGATTTTCATATAAAATATTCAATAAATAATTTTACAAATCCAATTGTACATACTAATTTATCGATTATAAACCCTGTAAAAATGAAAGGCAACTCATGAACCATGATCATAGGTGATGTAATATCTCTTATTTTAGCATGATCATACTTCCAATTTTACACCTAACTTCCACATTTAAATGTAGGCGTTGGTTTTCCCATATTTATATGCACTTGTCGTTTTCCTATCTTTTTTAGACAATTGTGTAGATGTACTTTATATTGAGTTTTTGCACCATCCTTATTTTTAATCATATATAATTTACAACAATTGCACTACATTTTCTTAACAGTAAGTTTAATCGGGTAGGATTTATGAGCAGCGTGAAAAAGAGAGATATATGAGAGACTAGAGTTTTATAAATCATTGCACCCCGCAATCTCGCCGTTGTCTTTGATGCTTGCTACCCTAGCAACCGGGAGACATATAATGTCAAACTTATCATTTTTGCTTTGTTTAATGATCACCTGGAGGTAAAAGTGTTGTTTTTATTATTTATGTAGATGACCTTGTTCTCCTAAGAGCTTGCTGGGGAAATGTGGAGACTCAAGAGATTCCTAGCCAAAGAACTCTAGATTAAAGACTTGGGAAATCTTAAATATTTTTTAGGTTTGGAGATTGCTGGATCACAAAAGGATCAGATATCACAAATGTTATAAATCCCCTAATAGGAATAAGAATATTTAGATGTAAACTGACCCATACTCCCATGGAATCAACTGCTAAACTTGCCACTGAAGATGATAGTGTTCCAATGGAGGAAAAATCAGCATCAATCTAGGTTGTTTGAAAGAACATGGAGGAATAAGAATATTGAGATGTAAACTTACGTTTAATCAATCTATATTGTTTGAAAGTATTGTGGAGGAACATAAATGAAGATTGAGATGATTATAGGAAACCGGAAATTATCTCTTTGTTATTTGAAAGTATTGTGGAGGAACATAAATGAAGATCGAGATGATTATAGGACACCATAAATTACCTCTTTGTTGTGAATTTTTAACTAGACAGCTTATTTGTGAATTTTGATCAAGGAATATGACCTGTGATTCATTAGTGATGTTACAGGGGTGGAAATAGCAGGCGCGTTGAAGAATGTTCTTGCTATAGCAGCTGGTATCGTAGCGGGTATGAATCTTGGAAATAATTGTATGGCTGCCCTTGTTGCACAAGGTTGTTCAGAGATAAGATGGCTGGCGACTAAGGTATCAACTGCTTCATCTTCTATAATTCATTAAAAAAAAAAAAAAAAATAAAAAAAAAAAAAAAAAAAAAACTATCTTTGTTCTATCTTGATATGTACTGGTATTTTTCAAGAAGGCTGTTTGTTATGCTTCATTAGTTTTTCGTTGTTTTCTGCTAAAATGTAAGCGATAGCAAAATGCTTTAGCCATCTTTTTGCATGATTTTATTACAGTTACTGTGTTTTTTAGCTGTGCATTTAAAGAACCATACTATTAAAGTTAACATATGCAAAATTCTTTATAAATTTCTCTTTGACGACTCAGTATTAATTTTATGCTTTCTTTCATTTTTTTGTTTTTTATGCCTTCTGGACTAATATTTCCCGTGTTACCTTTTGCTAATGCACGCATACCTTTCTGAATATTCATTAACTTTCCTCTGCCGATCAAAATTTTGTATTATATGGAGATGGGAGCGAAGCCTACAACCATAACTGGTCTTTCTGGATCTGGTGACATTATGCTTACATGCTTCATAAATCTTTCACGGAATAGAACTGTTGGACTTCGCCTTGGGTCAGGGGAGAAACTTGAGGACATTTTAAGTTCAATGAGTCAGGTGGAGCCATATCTATTTGATAATTTAGTAAGTGTTTCATTTGTAAGGCTGATTCTTACAAGTGTTTCATTCAATTACATTGAGCAGGTGGCTGAAGGTGTATCAACTGCTGGTGCTGTTATTGCACTTGCTCAGAAGTATAACGTAAAACTGCCCGTCCTTACCGCTGTTGCTCAGATAATTGATAACGAATTAACTCCAAAAAAAGCTGTTATGGAGTTGATGAGCTTACCTCAGGTTTCTTTCTATTCTTTTATTATTGTTCCTTGTCCCATCTAATGAGTAAAATGTTAAAATACTCCCTCAAATTTTTTACATGGGTCATTTTAGTCCTAGAGTCCATAAAAGTGGCAAATTAGTCCCCAAACTCATTAAATTGGGGCCAAAATATTGCTTTGTAGGGATTATTTCAGCCCATATTAAAAGAGTGGTACTAAAATGATACTTTTATAGACTTCCGGACTAAAATGACCCCCTACAAAGAGTTAGAGAACTATTTTGACAATTTTCTCCCCATTTAATGAATCATAACCTCCTTTAGTTGGTGTATCCCTTGAAATCAGCTCCGGCCAGTATAAAGCGTAGATTTAAAAAAATGCTAAGATGTTTGAAACTCTAGTTTTTACAGAATTTGGTTGGAACCAGTACACAGCATATTCGTGCTTTGCCAATGCTAGTTTTTACATAAGGACAGGTTCTTAGGCCAATAGCTTAGGCATTCTAGCTGAGAAGCACTAAGGTATAATGGGTGGCTTAAATTGTTACCAGCACGTTATGGTGGCTATTCGAATTTATCAGTTCTTTACTAAGCTTTCTAGAGGCAGAAATGTTAGCTCTAGGCAAGAGGGTCCTTGAAGCTAATTATTTTTTATTTGTGTCATAGTTTGCTTTGTTTCTAGCCTTTTTTAAAGCATTTTCTTAGACCATTCAACTGTCCTTTAAGTCATGTGGAAACCATATATGACTTCAGACTAATTTCAGTGTGAAGATTAGATCTTTATATTATTCTAGCAAATGCAGACGCTATTGAGATGGCTAATGTTGATATCATTCTAGTAAATGTTCGACTATTTATTTTTGCGAATATGGAAACTGAACCACTGCTCAAATTTACATTTTATCATGTTTGGCAGCAAATTAAATTTGACACTCGAAATTAATTGCTAAATTAATTGTTTTTAATTCCTTCTATGATTTGCTGTAGAAGAGAAAAAGAAATAATTAATTAGTTTCATTAATTATTTGATTAATTTCTTAATGGGCCTAATGACATGATGAAATTAATAAATAGACATGCTAGCTCCTCTTGTTATCCCTCTTCTGCATTGATAGCTTTCCAGGTTCTTATTTGTTGTGAAAAACGACCACAACAAAACGAAAAATGGAATGAGAAAAATTGCACGCAGAAAAAACATAAGAGTGACACACAGATTTACATGGTTCGGCAAATTTGCCTACGTCCACAGAGCTGCAGAGGATTTTATTTCTTCGAGGAATTACACTGTCAAGCACCTCGACGTTTACAAGAAAATCTTTATTTTCTTCTCTCCCTTCTCTCTTCCTCTTCTTCTTCCTCTCTTTCTCACTTAGAGGACTTATGGCTATTTATAGAAACTAGGAGAGCAGTAGGTGTGTGTGGTAGGTGAGCGGTATGAAGTATTCTAGAAGATGGAGGCCTAATGAACAACCTAGAAGAATCTAGAATATGTATGTACATAAGAATAGTGTAGAACTATCTGGAAGCTAGAATATTATATTTTAATGTTCCCCTTGGAGAATAGTCCCACATTGGCAATATGTAAGGCCAAAGCCATGGAGGGAGCTATAAATAAGTGTCCCTTCTCTCATTCTAAGGCATCCAAGGTTTCAAGCTTTCAAGCTTTGTAATCTCTCTTTATTAGTGAAGTTTTATCTTCTTAACTCTTCTTTCTATTCTACTTTCAAGAGAGTGCTTTTGAGGTGTTAGTTGAGAAGGTTAGGCTGATTTAGTGCTAAGAAAGAGCGCTAAAGCCGCACGGATAACTCGAGGAAAGTTAGTCCGTGACAGTTGGTATCAGAGCTTTGGTTTGAGGGAATGATGAAGAGGGTCAAGGAGCACGTGATGGAGTCAGAAGCCACTAATGTGGAGTCATCTCAAGGGCGAGGTCGCCAGGATCAAAGGGACCCAGTTGCACCCAAGCCGCATGAGAGGTCTAAGGAGATCATGCATAACTTTGATTCGCGCCTTGCTCGGATCGAGGAGGCAATGAATGGCATGGAGGGCCAAGTAGAGGAACTTGACCAAAGGGCTTATGAACTCGAGGAGTAGGACGTCACCATCTATTCAACAATCAGAGGTATGATGCTCCAACTTGAGGAGACCTTAATGGGCCAAGTGGCTATGTTGCGGGAGGATTTTATGGGGAAGCTCCAAGGGGTGCGAAGTGCCTATAAGGAAGAGATGAGTGACATGCTTGCTAGCACCCACCAACCATCAAACCTTCGAATCTAAGAGGATTGAGGTGCCAAAACCTAAGAGTTTTGGAGGAACTCGTGATGCAAAAGAAGTGGATAACTTCTTATGGGGTTTGGAGCAATACTTCAGAGCAATGGGGATCACAGATGAAGAGGCAAGAATTCAATTTTCTACTCTTTATCTTTCAGATATTGCTATGCTATGGTGGAGAAGAAGGCGAGGAGATGTTGAAAAAGGTATGTGTACTATCTCCACTTTTGATGACTTTAAGAAAGAGTTAAAGAGACAGTTCCACCCTGAAAATGCGGAGGATGAGGCTAGAGCCCAATTGCGAAGGCTCAAGCAAGTAGGATCGATTCGAGAATATATCAAGGAGTTCACTAGTTTGGTCCTTGAAATCCCTGATATGTCAGACAAGGATGCTCTATTCAACTTCATGGATGAACTCCAACAATGGGCAAAGACAGAACTTAGGAGGCGTGGTGCACAAGACCTCGCTTCCGCCATAGCCATTGTCGAAAGCTTGGTGGACTACACAAAAGAGTCTACAAAGCCAAAAGATAAGAAGAACAACTATGTCCGAAGTGGAGGAGACCGGGAGCAACACAAGGAAGAGAATCGTCATGAATCGACCTCATTCAAAGCAAGAGACAAGGGAAAGTTCAACAACAACAACAGGACTAAACCATACAACAGTTGCTTCCTTTGTGGAGGACCACATTGGGTAAGGGATTGCCCGCAGAAGAAAGCTCTGAACTCTCTCCTTGCAAGCCATCAAGAAGTAGAGGAAAATGACATGGACGCTCAAGTAGGGACCATGCAACTACTCAATGCCGTACGCTCTTCTCCAAAAACTCCGGCAAAAGGACTTCTCTTTGTAGAAGTAACTATAGGGAAGACATCCACTAATGCGATGATAGAGGAGCTTCTCACACACAACTTTATGTCTATTGAAGAAGCAAGGAGGATGGGTGGAGGATGGGTCTGCAGGAGGTGGAGGCTCGAGGCTCCATCAAGGCAGTTAACTCTGCAGCTAGGTTAATCCGTGGAGTGGCTAAAGGAGTGAAGACCTGTGTAGGAGATTGGTCAGGTACGCTAAACTTCTCCATCATTCCCATGGATGATTAAAGTAATCCTTGGTATAGATTTCTTGGACCAAGTAAAGGCCTTCCCGATACCGTTTGCCAATAACATGTGTATTATGGGAGGCGACCAAGCTTGCCTTGTACCGATAACAAGGGCTAGGCAGCAGGAGACCAGGATGTTGTCAGCCATTCAATTCAAGAAGGGCATTC